TTTGCTATTTGCTTCAGAAATTTTATTCGAAATATTATGTCTGGCATTGCTTTTAAGGTTCTGTCTCCTGAAAAGACCTGCTAAACTGACGTAGAAAAGAAAGTACCCACTTGTGTCTGGGAATAATATTAAAGAAACATCGTACATATACGAAACGGTGTAGTGATTGTGACTTTTTAGTCTCAAGCATTGTGTACCTGTTCCTAAAGCACAAAGTGTACACGCTCTGTTATACGTCTGTTTATCAGATTACGTCATTTTTTCGAGGTATAGAAACCATGCAGAGAACAGAGGGAATCATGTAGTTTTTTTCATTCTTACTATGACAGTTGTACGCACAAGCTTTAGGGTTAACCTTGTTTGTAGAATGATTATACCTGCAGTACTTCATGTGAATGTCCGTGGGGGATGTCGATGAAATTGTCGTGCTGTATTGTTTCTAAGTCGGAAGAGGTTGAAAATATGAATCAGAGAACCAAGATTATACATTTTATACAATTTAATGCGTATCTTATATCTATTCATGCAATCTAGTGATAAGATATGCATTTTGTCAACATGCAAGTATCTGGAATGCTATTTGATATTGCAAGTCGAGGTTTTCAAAAGAATCATATTATTTACATTGTAGTTTCCCTAGGTAATGATGTTTCATGAACTGAGATTCGTAGTGCATATACGGCAAAATTGCAGCTCACGTCTATTAAAATTCATATGTAAATTTTCAACATGTTTATATCTCATTGATGAATCTATCAATCCACGGGGATATCTATTTGCCGTTGGTCTCAGTACGCTAGTGTCTCTGCTTCTGATCTCTTCCAGTAACGGTATCATAATAAGGAAACCGGGTTTCCTCTTCCGCTCTTATCACTCTGTAGTTGGAAAAGTATAGATCTTCATTTAAGTCTTCCCTGAACTCCTGTCGTTGAAGTAGTATTCATTATTGTTTGTAAATGAGTTCAGTTACATGTACATGGTTAGGTTCCATAGTAATGTCCGTTTTGTTTTCATTTTACTCAGTTCCAACATCCGACTACACAGTTTGTGTAACCTTCTTCCAGTACTCAACCGTTAAATGTCCGACAATTTCATCACACAAGTTGGTTGGCTGTTTAACGCCGCACTCAGCAATATTCCAGCTACTAGTATATGGCGTCGGCCTGTAAATATACGAGTCTGGACCAGACAATACAGTGATCAACATCACGAGCAGCGGTCTACGCAATTGCGATGGCAAGTGTCAACCAAGTCAGCGAGCCTGACCATCCGATCCGTTAGTCCCCTGTTACGACAAGCATGGGTTAAGGAACACCAACCAGTTCTAATGCCTCTTCAATGTCGCGGGAAAGAAGCACCCAGTACAGGCATTACAGTAGAATCACCAGTGTTCACGATCTACTTAATTAATTTACTTCCGTTGTAGATAGCTGGTCGAATTTGATGCAATTCCTTGTTCTCTGTAAAATTGGAAGTATCAGATGTGCCAACACTGTGATTTAAGTTTCTGTATTCTAGTTTTCCGTGTACATCTGCATGTTTACACACACGAACAAGACCGCCATAAAATTCAGAACAACATTTACTGCATTGTCAGTGGCAAAGCCGAACTCTCGGTGAAAACAGATTGCTTTAAAGTTTTGAATAGATACATCACTGCACTTAAATTAAATGTCGCCCCCTTGTGAAAGAAACCGCCTTTAGGGATTTCGTCACGAATTTGCCGTTCTCAACCAGTTAATGCAATTAAAGTCACTTGTTTAATCATGTCAGTGAGGACTTCAAGTACTTACTTTAAGTCGGGTGAAATACGATTTACTGTATTCTCGCGAGAGCTTTGACAGTGGATTATAAAATAAAAACAACTTGTGTGATGCTGAAAATGTTACGAGTTGGGCTGAAACGCGAATGGTAATCCAGCAACAGCACATACAAAACCAGTTTGTGAAATCAGCAAATAATTAACAAATCATACTGAATCATACATTAGTCGGTGTAACATCATGAACATGGATGCAATGAATAACAATCCCTTTTACGTAAGTCAGTGTACTCACAGATATTCAGAATTTCTCACAGTCAAATGACTTGAGAGATACACAAGCGCCATTCGGCAGGAAATAGAGTTGACAGCTGGCAAAAAAGTCTCAATTAGGGATTCTGCCCACGCCAGGAAAATAGATAAATCCCAAGGTCTCGACTCGCCCAAGTTTTGCTTTTATAAGTCACTGCAAGCCTCCCAGAAAATGTTGCCTCCAGACTGTCCACTAAGTGGGTTGTCCATCCCAGAATCAACAACAAACAAGGGAAGTAACTCACGTGCTCTGATGGTCACAGTTTAGTATTTAAGCCACAGGGGTTCGAATCACTGTTTGGACAATAAGTTCTAAAAATAAAAATCTCGATTTTTGCAACCGTATATTGTTTTTATATGTTATGAGTAACTTATACTTCAAATTTGAACGAAATCGGTGAAGGAATGGATTTTTAAGAAAATTCTCCCGCTACACTCATTACATAAAATACACAAGGGGTGACACTCGCGATGCTAAAAGCCTGATCGAAAACCGGATAGCCTGACTATTTTAAAACGCGTTCAATCAAACCTTACCTTTTTTCCTCAAAACAATGTGTTGAGCTTGTAGATTATTCTTTTGGCTTTCTGCTCATCGTATTCAGTTTGTCTAACTGCATTTCGAACCCCTGTGATTTAAGCCCTGGATTATACGATCGCTTCAGTCTGCTGCCACTAACAATCATCAGACATAGTGTGATACAAAATTAATATAACCGTGGATGTATATTACAATGGACAATATATATGCATTTAAATAAATGATGGCATATTCACAACCAATGTCATATTTTTTACATAAATTTCCTCTAATAGAATTAGTGAATGCGTATGTTTTTACGCCGCTTTTGCAAGCAATATCACGGCGAGGAATACAAGACGACGTGACGAGCAAACTCGTTAAGCACTTGGCTACCCCACCGCTCCTCTTATGAAATTAAGTATTATACATGGAAGCATCCGTGTACCTCAACGTTCCTATCTGTGTTTATTCAGTTCATTTTCGTTTTCGCTTCGTTTTCTCTTTAAGATCGTTGTTGATGGGTAAGATGTCTTGTCATGGAATAAATTCATATGTACATAATAATACTATGGTTCAAATGCACAACTCAAACTGTCGTGTATCGAATATGTTTGAATACATACGTCAATATATACTGAAAGGCAAAAGAAACTTCGTAATATTGGAAATGACATTTAAGTTATACTGTATCAATGGAGTATTTGAACCTATTGTTTTTTTAAATATACACCGGAAGTCAAGATTGAGGAATACATGAATCGTGGTTGTATAGCCTGTTTTGTCCAATAAAATATTGTTTGAGATTGAGCTTAAAAATGTTTTTGTTTGTGGAAAGGGAAGAATTCGCACAAACACAACATTAGAATCGAGATGCATGTGCTTTATGCATGCATTCAGGCATAAATTGCCGGCTTGAATGGCAATCATTCACTTGTTTTCTGAACACAGCAGCTATGGCTAGGTTAACGAGAGATCAACGACAGCAAGCCATTGGACGTCTACACAATCTCCAGCGACGTTTCTTTTGCCTTTCAGCATATTAGTGAGTGAGTTACTATTTAACGTTACATCGGCAATATCTCAGCCATATCGTGACGAAAACAATCCATACAATAAAAAGTGGAAACATTTTGAAGATTAAAACCTGTCGACGATGTTTCAGCATATTAACTGTAGCAAAGTGTAAACAGTTGAGCTGTCAAAGATACTGCGACATTTGTCAAATCAGAAGCGATTATATCCCAGTTTACATGCCTCATGTGTCGCATATTGTCTATATCCAGTGACCGCGAGGGTGGCACACAGCACGATAAGACGACAGGAGTGGAATGTTTTCCAACGTTAGAACTTAGAGAGAACGTGTACATGAAATGCGCACGATTTTATCAACTATTGTAATTATATATTTATTATTGCTTCGTTGTAAATTACCCTTTTTATCCATGTGTAGTTAAACTGTTTCTTAAGTTGAGAATCAATCATACTTTCCTGCCAAAGATTGCGAATAATTTTCATGTATGGCGTCGTAGTTATTAAACGCGCCGAATGCAAAACACTGCACAATAAATCCTTTTTATCTATTTGTAAAGTTAGATTAAACGTCATAAAACAAACCTGAACACTCTGAGTACACACGGCGGACATCCTCATGTCACCAGTAATTCGACTGCCTACATCGTAAAAGCTTGCTCAAAGGCTTCAATCATAACCTTAGTAAATAGTTCAGGTTTAGCACCGACACGCTGATTTCAGTTGATGCCATATCCATAGTACTTAATCACATCCTTTACTGAGATCTGTTTGAAGCAGTCACTGGGATAGTCACATAAAGAAGTTAGTTGTGATCGAAGAAGCATTAAAGTATAATACCGTGTCACTAGGTGTTCTAATTACATCCACACAAGCGCTAGGCGCGAGACTCTAATAGTTCCGTCAGTGGACTATAATGCAAAATCCAAATCAATCAAAACGCACCAGCTGATGATGAATGGTCATAGCATGGAGGTGGAGTCTAGCTGGAGCGCCAAACCCTCCGTTTCCTTTCTTACCAACTAGAACGCTAAGGCTTGCAGACTCTTACACGCTTCCAGAAGTATTATTCTTTAAACACTGGTATTAGATGAAGGAGGGAGAGAGTCTTCTGGACATGCCCACGAGGGGATGTCATTACCTTTTGTCTTGCTTTGAAAGAAAGTATAGATCATGTCCTAATTTGGTGATCCGTCAAAGCAGTACGAATGGACAGTTGATTATTTGAGTCGAAATGTGTGTCTCCATGATGGTTGACAAATGAGGCTTTGCTTCGATCATAACGGTACAGTGAACCAGTGGAGTCAGCTTAATCGTTTTCTGGCGAAGGTGTTCAAATGAATTCTTCGTTATTTTAAACACTCGGCCATGATCCAAGAAAACCTCTCGGAAACTATGGAGAAAAGTTCCAGCAATTCATCAGATGTTCTTGTTCCTGTGCTTAAACAACCGCTGTATATGATTATCATTTACTCTTCAGCCTATGCCGTGGTTTTCTTGACATCAGTGATTGGGAATACAATGGTGACTTCGGTTGTTATTAAGAAAAGGAGCATGCATTCTGTCACGAACTATTTCTTGGTGAATTTGGCAGTAGCCGATATTCTTGTCACCGTGTTCTGTGTGCCTGTCAATCTGATGATTAATCTTTATAACGGTAAGTGATCACTGTAATAGAAACCACTGACCGGGTAATGAAATGAAAATGGCAAGAAAACGTACAAAGTAATCTTGAAAGGCCATTTTCACATTGTCATTGAATTTGTATTCCTTTTTTAATTGTCATGTGTTCCTTCTAACCATGCGTTTAAAGAAACGTAATTTCATTAATTTTTAAACATTTCACCTTTACAAGAAATAAATGTTCTTATTCCCGAGATATAATTTCATTTAACACAAGCTTTTCTGAACTCAATTCTATTAAACCAAACCCTTCCTCAAGCGAAATTGTTCTGACTCAAAAGCACGCCAACTTCATATCTGTATCATGCATTGCCGCGGACTTTAGATGCCATTACTCACTGATACGTGGTTTTTCTGTAATTGTGCATCTTTTGGGAATATCGGTTACGCTATTTATGTAAGAAAAATATGCGTCACTAATGGATGCGATTTCTTATACTGAAATATGACTACTGTGGTTTGAAAAATATATTTGTGTGTGAATTAGGTTGGTTTGGGTCTTATGCAGACTTTACGTACTTTAGCCTTGTCAAGTACCTATACATGTCAGAAGAAGTCGAACATGATCATGGCGCAGGTTGTCTTAGATGTGTATTACCATGATTAAATCGGATGAGACAGAAACACTGAAGCATGAAACATACCGCTGCATTTCACTGACATAAAATCTGTGATTCGTAATAAAGGACCAAAGTAAGTGGTTGGTCATCTGGAAATAACTCATTCAATATTTGGAAAGTTCATATTCATACGGCTTAGCGTTCGACTCTTCTTAAAATGTTCAAACGTCTAATTCTGTTCATCGGTTGTAATAGCCTGAGATAATATTGCATGGTGACATGTTTAATGAACATGGGTCCTTTTACAGTTCCAACAAAGTGCCAACTAACAACATGTGACCAATAATCAGTCAAAATAAAAGTATCTGACCAAATCTGAAACGTCCAAGAAATACGAAAGTTATTGATAAATGCGTATGCGATCCGCATCATGCGACCAGAGGCTGGTACCTTCGTTTCATGCTCCCAATACGTGTCTGAATGGTTGGGAAGGGAATACTGTTCCGCTCTTAAGAAAGAGCACTGCCGAGTTCCTTTAGAATTGTATGAAGGGCACGGCATCCTGTGTTCGATAGGGTTGTGGTTTGGTGACGTTTTGGCCTCTCTGTGCACGTTATTATTAATAATGATGAAGTCCGTTCAATTGCACAAGCATACGGTACCACGTACACGCCCAGACTCCCAACCCTGCAGCACACACCCGCTGACGGGTCCCATTGAAGACATGGTAATCGGTTCGTCCAGCCCAAGCAATTAGATTAATTACCCTCCATAGCATTCATGTTCGGCTGCGTTAGAATCCTGAAATATATCTCTTTGTTTACGCCTTGCTCGGACACGACGATCTGTGAAGTTTAGACAATATCTCGATTCAACAGAAAATAGTGATGAATCCCAGTGCTGGCAATTGATGTGATTTTCAGCTCAATCTAAACGTGCCAGCCTGTGATGTCGGATCAGTGGTAAGCGAATGTATGCCCTCCGTGACCGGAGACCAGCCTAGCCGAGACAGATACGCACTGAGTAGAAACTTTAATGCCACTGGCGTTCAACAGGTCATTTCTGAGTGCAGTGGCAGTCACGTAGTGATGACGTTTCGCTACAATCAGGAGGCACCTGTCTTCCCGAAGTGTGATGGGACGCCAGAATGCCGCGTGGTAAATGATCCAAACGTCTGAGTCCATGCCCTGCTGATCACAATTTTGGCTGACACCAAAGACATTGGCAACATGACATTGTGCTGACCCAGTTTCAAGCATGCCTATGCATCTGTTTAATTATTCTGTCGTCAAACGTCTTTGACACTGAGGGGGGAGGGGGGCATAGCTGCATTGAGTTGTGGGAATCCCCAGTAGCAAATATTGTTCTCTGTTTTAATGCTGTGCATGACTGTATGCCCCTATCCCACAACGAGGTAGCCTGGGACTTAAAACGGATGTTGGCCACGTAAACGCCAGGGTTCAACTTCATAGACGGGAACAAAGCGTTAAGCAGCTATTACATTGCTTTGATGTTACTAAAAGTGGCGTCAAACCGAAGTTACTCACGTTCTTTTTGTGTGACTTGCTTGTCTCAAACAGTTTGCTGTATCCCGATTAGCAAGTATTTACCAAAATATAAGCATGCCTGTATTGATAAATTGAAACATATATCGTCCGTATCACCTAGATGAATCAGACGGTATATGCTTATTGACGGCGCGCATGAAAATAAAGTCAAGTTACTTCAGCAGGTATTGACAGATCAAGTAAGGGATCAATACAGCGAAGCCAAATCTGAGTAGACCTTTCGGTTTATGATGTACTGCACAATACCTATTCAATATCCGGTCCGATTAAGTGTCTCGTTCGGGCTCTATTACATTGCTTATTTCATGTATATATTTGCGATTTAGATATGGCACTATGTTTGACATGCAGGCGAAGGCACTGGTCCCGTTCGCAAGCTGATTAATCGCAAATCGTACAATGGACTTAGCTTTTGGGAGATATTCGTTATGAATATCAAGACGTCTGTCAAGAGTGGAGTCGATTGTACGCTTTTTACTGTATCACTGACATATGTTTATGAATCACTGTCATGTAGTGATGATACAGAGTGTAGTCAATTTTTCAAATGCGCCACATTTTGGCCCTTAACATGTCTATCTTTAAACTTTATATGCTCTTTTGAAATCTCAAATGTAAACGCCAAAGTTCTTGAAATATTATTGACAGGAAGGGAAAGTTGACTGCTGGGAAGTTGAAAAGGAACCCAGTGATGAGATTCTTTGTCAATCTTAATCCTTTATGCACAGATCTGACACCACATGAGGCGGTTTTGCTTCATATCCTTTATTTTAAGTTCACTTAGGTAAATCAGCTGATGGTCATTGAACGATATCAGATCATCGAAATACCTGAAGCCTAAGTTAAATCTTTTGGCCAAACAACCTTTTTTGATTTTGCCTACCCGAGAAGAATTGTGTATGTCATGTAGGATAACAGTGTACAAAGTTGAAAAATATAATGTTTTGTCAGAACTGAACTTGGTCCAATGCGTTCTGGGAATATGTGGAAAATCTGTCCTTGATAGTATTAAGGACTTTTTTATTTATTAGATAGGGATTTGATGGTACACTTGTAATAACTATTTAAACCAATCATTGATGCTTGCCTATATATGCATTACAGTACGTACATTACGTTTCGGTAAAATTGTGTATATGGCACCATGCATGTCATATTCTGACTTCATATTCTGGATCTGGATCAAGCTAAGCATGGCTGTACGTGTGCATATGGAATTATTCATTAGCCCTCTCTCACAAACCTAGTCACCCCGTTTCTACAAATACACTCTGCTTACGAGCCACTTCGATCAGTCTCTGCGAGTTATCGTCCATAAAGTGAAGCCAATATCATGGCGGTCGTAAATCCAGGCTATACGGTGATGACATTTACACTTCTCATTTCTCTGATGGTGTCAAATGAGTCAGGAAATATGCATGCTTAATGCGAACATTATATTGCGAGTCTTGCATGTTGACAAGACTCTGCCAAATAGCATAACGTAACTTCCCCCTTGGCCAGAAGTGCCCGTGGTATGTCTTATCAAGATTCGATTATTTACCGGTCTGTGTCATTTAGCTGAAATAATCACTGCATCGTGAAATGACGTTCACTGACTAAAAACAAAAATACTTCCATCAACCGACAATTCAAATGTTCAGTTCGCATCAGTATTGACACGATAGGCCTTAGGGCATCATTAGGGCATCAATATTGACAAGACATCACTAAGGTATGACTATTGATAAGATAGGTTTCATGGCATCACCCGAACTTGAATATTGGCAGGTCTCATCACTTCACTAGGGGATTAATATTAACAACGACAGTTCTCATTACATAACTGGGGTATCAATATTGACAAGATAAGTCTCCTCACGTGACTAGGGGATCAATATTGGAAAGACAGGTCTCACGGCATCACAGGGGTTTCAATATTGACAATATAAGTCTTTTGACATCACTGGGGCATTCATTAGACACATAGATGTATGTAACTGGGTTTATTCGCATTGTTATCAAGCCATATCACCAGAAATAGGCTTCCCACGTTGTTCACGCATTGGGAATCCAACCCTGCGAAAGTGCAACTACTACAATCGGGCTGCCCCACTGTTTGAGCTTGAAGCTAAAACTGACAACACTCATGAGATCATGAGATCAGTGTTGTGATTCATAATATGCTCTGCCCTGTAACAAATCAATACCGATTCCAGTCAAAGGCAGGAATGAATTCATAGAAAAGGTCTCAGTTGTGGCCATATTACCACAGCTATTTCCTGAAAAAAAATCCAAACGCACCATAGTTGATTTGAATGACGTCGATTAAAAACAATGAAATCCGTGGATGAACATACTTGCAAGTGACATAACTATATACAGCACGACACTGCAGAGAAACTGTTTCTGAATTATTTTCTAACCTTTCGGTGTAGCTGAAAGTTCTTAGGACTCGAAGTGTCGCTTAGGTGTAGGAGGTCAAGTGCCTATTACAGTTTAGAAGTCGCAGGTATTATGTACATGTATATGTACTGACCATACAATACAACAGTACTGACCAAAGCAGTTCAGTCTTTGCTATCCATAGTCAAAATGCTATCCATATTTTACACACATGACCATGCCACGGGTGGGACAGGATACGCTCACTCATTGGCAAAAATCTCGAATAATTTGACAATGTAACATATGCTATATTTTGGGATTACACTTTCTGAGTAAAGTACAGATTCTAGCACTTTTGAGGTTGAGTCACATCCGGGATTCGAACCCACACCCTCAGAGTCAGGCACCTAATCGCCAGCACACAAAGTCAGCCGCCTAACTAAGAAAGTGTAATCCCAAATATAACGTATGTTACATTT